GTAGGAATTCAGTGACCGTATTCAGTTGCTGGTTTTATCAGGATCCAGGAGGTTTCGGAGAAAATCTGATAAATCTGGTTAGCGGTTTCCTTCATCTGAAATATCCTCTTCTGCGAGAACTGATCCAGATTTCTCGACCTGCGAGAGAATAATTTCATTCGTTCTGTATATTTTATATTCTTGTTCATATTTAGATAAAATTAAAAATCGATAAATTCTGAAAGCGTTTCGTACAAACGTCAGTCAAGAAAGTTTTTTATCGTGGATCCTCGTCCATCATTTTAAAATCAACGATATCACCATCGTAATAAGACAAGTCAAGAGGGAAAAAGCGGTGCCTGATGGATACTAGGATCCATCAGGATCTAATCCGGTCCATCGGCATAGGTTAATGTTCTGAATATTCATCAAATTCAAGAAAATTAATGAGACTCATAAAATATGGATATAAAATCCAAAGTATGTTCTAAATGAGTTAAAGTGATCTTCATGTGCTAGTTTTCCAACTCTGAATAAGCTTATTCCCAAAGGAAAGAGAGTGAGTTCTAATGTATCCCAGGATCTACTGGAATTCACACGGATCGATTGGAATTCTTGAAAACTAAGTTAAAAAATAGAGAATCGGTCGTGAAATTTCTGGCAAATAAGGTGAAGGAAATCCTAGAGATTGAAATCCAGATGAATGACGATGAAGTTTGATATATCTTGATGGATTTTGCGGCTTATACGATCTAACAGAATCCGTCAATATTCAGCTTTGCATACTCATTTCATATTATTATGCAACTTGATGATTTCTGTTGATCTCTTTTGGACCTCAATAGAGTCTATGAATAATAATAAATTTTGCTTATGGTAAATATCTAATGTTTTTGAATAGTTCTCTGACGTATCTGACAATGATTCTGCACAAATTCGCCGTTTTTTTCTAGGGGAACAAGACAATCAGGAAAAAAATGTCTTCACAACATTTTAAGATGCTTAGACAAGTTGAATCGGAATTCAATCAAGATCTTGAATAGTTCAGTACTGTTTATCAACTGAAAATCATCCAAGACGATGCGAGACCTTGAAAAAGCCGTGTATCCACGGAATTTCATAATTTGAACAAGATTTAAAACAGGATTTTCGCTGGTTTCTGAGCAGTTTACCAAAACAATTTTAATAAGAAATATTTGAAGGAAACAGTAAATCCTTAGAGAAATATGCAGATACGATGTAACACAGATTTTGCTAACATTCGAACAAGATTTTAAACGCATTCTAGGCTCTTTTTTGTTAATTTTATGTTAGGATTTTGCTAGCATTTTCATAATATCTAATTGAAAAAATATTTTCTCATTGCATCTCGCAAAAATTCATTAAGTTTTTTTTACCGATATTATTCGATTTCTTAGCGGAATCTTTGCAAGGCTTTCGAGGCAGAAAAGAGAAGCAATGAACCCACCGAGTATTGATCTCTAGGTTTTTGATTTACAATCGATTAGTTTACCTAAGTAGACTGTACGAAATCATTTAATTGCACTTAATCCATCGACATTTTAAATTGTCTTTGAATTATTAGCATCTATCTGAACTCTGTATGCACACATTATGCTAAGAAACATTCGAAAAATTAAATATTAAAATTAATACACTGATTACGTGTCATGAAATTTAACTATCACATATTGATTTCAGTTTGAATGAAAAAATAATATTTTAAAATTTTTTAGCACGAATGAACAAAATTTAGTGAAAATTTTCATTGTGAGACTCATTCATTACTAAAGTCCTTTTAAAAGAAAAGTTAGTATAACAGTTAAAATGATATTAAAATCTCATTTTTAATGAGCTTTCAAGTTTTATGTAACAATAAAACCCAATAGATAAATGGGTTGCATGCCGTGAATGTCATGCCGTAGTCAATATAAATGTTTAAAAGATTTGAAGAAAAATCTTCTAGACTTTTGTCCAAATTCGTCAATTTACTTTCATAGACTTCGAAAATGAGTATCAGAATAGGATTCAGGCATGTTCTTGAATTCTTGAGTTTCCGTCAGAATTAAAACAAAAATCATGGTAAAATCTTCAGTAGCCTTTCTATTCGTAGCTGTTGATATTTTACTTAACATGTGGTGGAACTTATTAGGATCCAAAAGTTCAAAAACCTTCGAAGAACCTTTAGCAGAAACTGTTTAAAAATTTTGAAGAAAACGTTTCGTCATTTTTTTAAGACTAAAACAGCTCAATCATAAATCTTCTTAGATTGCTCAAAATCAAGCATTGAACAAGCGTCAAATGAAAATTATAAAGATGTTTGTTGAGCCATAATAAGTTCTCAGAAAGATTGTGACTTCTCGTGGCTTTTTCTAGACAGGATCCTACATGTTTGTCCTTGAAGAGATCTAAATGGAATACTGGAAATGGTTAGAAGAGATTTTCATAACAAGATCACATAAAAAACGAGATAGGATCCTGATTGAACCTTGATAGCATTCAAGAGTTAAGTGTTCTTACTGCTCTTGTGTTATTCTTTGTAAGATTCTCGTCTGATCTAACTGTAAGTTAGAAACAATGATAACTAAAAGATTCTGAACAGATCCTGGTAAAGCTGATAAAATCTAAGCAAAATTCTTTCTATTGTTTATGCCAAGGTCCTGAATAAAGCTGAGAGTAAACCAAAGTAGAATCCTTCATTTTCAAATAATCAAAATATCTCAGTAGGCACTTGAAAAGGCTCGTAGAAGGCTCCTCTTTCACAATCAAGTATCGTGAAAACTGATGATACTAAAACTCGAAACAGAGTTTTGAAGAAAACATGATAAGAATCTTCAGATGCAGGATCCTAACAGATCTTTTTAGACATTCTAAAGAAAACACAGGATTGGCACTAGAGTATCAAATTAACTTGAGTTCTGGTACAGTGAGGCCAATCGAGGAAAAAGCGGATTCTGATGGTTCCATGAGTCCTAATAGATTATATAATAGATTTATCGAAATGTACCAAAGTTGCCATAACTTACTGCAATCAACTACTATTCGATAAAATCCATCACAAAATATTAGAAACAAGCAGAATGTAGCAGAAACCACTAAATATCAAAATACTACGAGGTTGATGGAGGAAGCATAGATTCTGATGGGTTCTAAAAATGCGCACAACTCAACATGACACGCCAAAAGATACGGAGACACAAAAGCATCTCAATGTCTGGGATCTGCTTGCTCTTCTTAGTTACAAATTCTGAAGTAACTTTTTTTCTTCTTTCATTAACAGTAAAACCTGTCTAATCTGAGCACCATTGGGGCTGAACAAAAGTGCACAGTTTACTGAGGTGCACATTATTGGGAGGTTTTCGGAATGTTTTGTTCTCCAACAATGGAGATTCATTTACAACCGTCTCTCCATGACATAAAATAACCTTTTTCTTCTTTTAAATAATTTGTTTGTTCAAATAATCATCTATCCTTCTTAAACGATAACTTTTTTACGACAAAAACCAATCTTTCCTAAAATAGCTATGATTAGTGCTTTGAGTAGAAATTTTTGAATCAAGATAGATGCATGTGAGCTTGGACTCAATTTCACTTATAGCTTGGTAAAGTTGAGGATATTGTGTAACAGGAAATGAGTATCTTTGTAATAAAGAAGATTCAAAATCCTTTATTAATTCGATTGTTTTAGTCAAAGGTAAACCAATGCGTCTTAGTGTGATTAGATGTAACTAATTGTCCTCACAAAGTGACGAAATGTTTCATTAATGAATATTTTTACTAAAAATTTTTTTCTTAATACTAACGCTTAACTCATCTTGTCCTTATGTGTTACTTGATTGTTTATTAATTGCAATGTAACACGCACAGTAGAAATTTTTCCCTCGTTCTGCACGTGAACGGAAGAACACACATTGCTCACATTATGCAAGTTGTTGTTACTTATGGGACTGAAAAAGAGTGTACACAGTTCAGAATAAGGAGGTGCTCATATAGAGAGATTTTAATATACTTTCTTTGGACTCTAATGCGCTCTTGCATCTATTAGGTTCAGATCTTTCCACCTTCGTTTTGGCACACTTCAAATAATTTATTCTATAATTCATCAGGTTCTATCAGGATCCATCAGGATCCGCTTTTCCCCCCTTGGGTTACCTTGTAACGCAACTGAGCGGAAACAATAACTTTCCTCCCATAAATGAATTTTTTACCATTTTCTTTCATCTTACACATGACAGCCCCTATTTTTGTCACTTTCTAAAAAACAGAAAAGAAGAAAAATATGCTGCCTCTTTTTATGAAAACAAATATTGACATCTTTATTACTAATAGCCATGTATCGCTCACCTTAGGTGTAACTGTTGCGTCGATGCGTATCCAACCGATACCAATAGCTAACATGGCAATAGATAACATCTTTGTTATTGATAAAGCAATTCAGCAACAATTCGAAGAAATCGCCGTTCGTCGCCTTGTTCGAAAGCTTGATTGGCGACTCATTCCATTTATGGTTCTCATCGAAGTGATATCATACATAAGCCGAATCAGTACTGGTAGGCAGCTTTGACTTGAATCATCCATTGTTGATGATGGTCTTCTAGGTCATACAAAACTGATGGACATCGAAAGCAATCTGAACTTATCACAATCTGAGAGTAATTTGGATATTTCACTCTTTTTTGTGGCCTACGTGAGAAAATTATGTTATTGAACTGCAATATTTTTGAATGGATACTTTGTTTTAGTTAATCTTCGCAATCCCTAGCAATATTCTCATGCGCTATCTTGGCGCGACTCGTTATCTGTCATTGAGTTTGCTTGCATGGGGTAGTATCACTATCGGTTTGGCTTTCGTGAGAAATGCTCGAGAACTACTGTTTGTTCAATTTCTTCTCGTAAGTGAATCGAATTTCTATGCACAACACAACATTTTCGATTTTTCGTTGAAGGGCATGACTCAAGCAGGCTTTTTTCCTGGTATTGTCATATATTTCTCATTATGGTATCGTAAAAGAGATCAAACTATGAGAATAGCTATTCTTTTTGGAGCCGCAATCATTTCCAGTGCTTTGAGTGGTATTCTGGTATGTACGCATCGATTTGATAAGATACGTGATACTTATTATAAATTTAGGCGTATGGTTTCACATACCTGGATGGTACTCGTGGTCTGAATAGTTGGCAGTGGATGTTTTTGCTTGAAGGTCTGCCGATGATTCCTCTCGGTATCATAACCTGTCTTTTTCTCAGCAATATACCCGATACCGTACAATGTAAGAGTTCATAGGATAGTAAGAAATATTCTCAACTGGTTCATTTTAAAAATTAAGGGTTGAATAACAGTGAAAAACAGCTTTTGACAAATCTTCTTCGACATGATGCAGGCATTGCCAATGGTGAAAATGTTCGACTTTCATGGCGACAAGCATTCTATGTTTTTGTCGATTGGCGAATATATTTGTATGCACTGATTGATATTGGTATTTTGAGTGTTATCAAATATATAAATACGTATCTTCCGTTGCTTGTCGAAGATATGGGTAATTCGAAAGCTGAAGCACATTTAATGACAGTACCACCTTACGTTTCCGCATTTGTGTTTTGTCTATTGGTTAATTATTCGTCATCGCGAAGAAATGAGCACGGCTTTCATCTCATATTTTGTCTATCTGTTACTCTAGTCGGCTTTATTCTTATGCTCACTCTGATCGATCGAGGCCAAGCGGCACAATATGTCAGTATTTGTATTGTTTGTTGTGGCATATTATCGGCATATCCTTTGTTACTCTCTTGGTCAACAAATAATGTCGGCGGGTATACCAAGAGAGCCATCGCTATCGGTTTTGTTGTGGGTATTGGTCAAATTGGTGGAATTATATTACCTTTTGTCAGACTGTTGCTACTATTGCTAAATTCACAACTATTTTTCTTTCTTTTTAGGTGCATTATGATGACTCAACCAATCGACGTAACAATTTTATTTATCTTGGAATGGTGGCGGCTAGTTTGGTCCTTGTCATTATTTTACGCATATGTTTGATGTTGGAGAATCGTTGGCGAGATAATTTATCACGGGAGAAGTATGATCGTACAGCAGCTATCAAAGAGTCTTGTGACTGGGTTAGGTCATGTCTGATTAACTTAATCTTTTTTTTATCACTGTTCTCTTGCAGCATCCCCAAGTACGATACGTCTTGTGACATGCCAGCTTCATCTCGTAGCTGACAAATTGAACTAATTTTTTTTGTAATCAAATGATTTTGCGAGTAATCTTAGAATCTGTCGAACAATAAGTTAATGTCGTCTTCTAAACGTATTTCAAAATTAACTCTTCAATAAATGATGCATCACATTAGATCGATAGCGACTGCTGTAACGAGCAAACAGCAAGACGATCTACCACCCGTTGCAATAACTGGGTAAGAAAAACAACAAAAACTCCTGATTTTAGTCGATTTTTTGCTGATTAAAAATCTCTTAAAACCAATATTTTTTGTAGTTTTTTAAATGAACTGTGTTGTAATTTTTTTCTAACTACAAGAAAGAAAAAACATGATATTGAATGAAAAAGTAATGATGAAAATAAGTATATCGTGGTTCGATTACGTTTACTATTATGTACACGCCTCAACACGTGCCTAATATTCGTGATATTGTATGAAAGGTTAAATTGCCGTACATTCTACGGAGTGTAGTTGATGATACATGAAAACGATCTTATATAGATAGGTTTTAAGAGCGGCACCTTCCTTTCATCAATAAAATATTCTCTAAAACGCACTAGAGTAGTGTTTCAATAGTAATTACTCCACTTGTTAATCCTTAGGTTTAGTCGATATATATATCAAAATGAGGTTCTTTTATTCCTCTATCAAATGAGATATAATTATTTGAGAAAAGATGGTCTGTACGAATTTGGTGGAGACAAAAGACACTAGAACTAAAAACAGTCGAAAGAAAAAATATTGAAATATTATTAATGCCAATTCACCACACACTATTCGCGTATAAAGTGACAGATATGATGTTGTCGCAAATTATTCATGCCATACTGTTGATATGAGAGAGAAGTTGCTGCTACGTTACCAAGTAATTGGTAACGGTGTCGTTATCCGTTACTCAGTAATGCTGGCAGGTAACACAAAATTTCTGACTTTATAAAAGAAAGGCTATTTCCCAAATAAAGTTTGATCAGAGATTTTTAGAGTTGAGGTATCCAATTCTAATGATGGCTCTCAAAATTTCTGGACTGGAGATTTCCATTAGACAACGGGCATTTCTTGAAAATAACGATATTTCATAAAGTTTGATCAAAGCTTTTTGAAGTCAAGGAATCTCAACTGCACGATGGTTTTTCGAATTTTGTGGACTTGAGAATTCCACTAGAGACAGGCTATTTTTCAGGAAGCCTTCTCTTCACTATTGTAAGTACAAAATATGGTATTGTTCGGGCCATATGAAAAAGGGCTCCTTCTAACTCTCTCTGCTTGGTGCGGATAATAATATGTTTTGTCCGTACAATAGTGGAGAAATCGCTTGCTAAAATTTAATTAGCTATGAGCTTTTTCCTCTGGAACAATCAGATTTCAACAAGGATTTTATCACTATTGTAAGAACTAAACATGATGTTGACCGCACCAATGAGAGGCTTTAGAGGAGTCCTCTTTCATATGGCTCAAACAATACGATGTTTTGTCCTTACAATAGTGAAGAAAAAGCTTTCGGAAAAAAATAGCCTGTCCCTACTGAGATTCTCAAGTCCACAAAATTCGAGGAACCGCTTTGCGGTTGAGATTCCTTGGCTTCAAAAGTCTTTGATAAAACTTTATAAAATATCGCTATTTTTGAGAAACAGCCTTACTTTTATAAAGTCAGAAATTTTCCGTTACCCGCTACCAGTTACATGATAACATATCTGGGCGAGAACGGTAACTTTCCTCCCCTAGTTGTTGAAAGGATGAATTGAAGTTTCACCAATAGAACTTGCGATAATTATTTCTTTTGAAATTTTTTATGTTCGGTGTTTTTTTCCTATGAAAGGACGAGAGCGCATAAGAAGTCAAATCGGCCCACCAGTACTTTTCTTGACCATTTCCGTTGAATCATATGTCTATGGAAAGAGCACGCTGAGATTGACATTTTAACGCTAATTTTAAGATATTTTAATCGAATTTTGAGAGCTAAAAGCTACTAACTAAAAATACATTTTTAGTCATTAATTTAGTAATTGATATTATCACCACGAATTCCTTTTCAGAATAAATAGACGACACAAAAAATGTTCTGAATTTATTTATTTCATAATCCTTTGATAGGGCTTCAATTCCATATATGAATTACCGACTGAGTAGTGAATTCCGTGATATGTAGGTCTAAAATACTGGTGAGTACTAGTGATATAACTCCTATAGTTATCATTTCCTTTTATATTTTTACAAATACTTTAAACTGAAAATTGAAATGTTCAAACTATTGTTATTGCTCATTTGATAGCTCTTTTCAAAAGCTACCAAACTGTATGTTTCCTAAACACTAAATACACTGGTCATTGGGGTAATTCCTAGTCACATTGTGCTGGGAGTCCAGTTTTTATACTTTTATAACTAGTATTTAGCCATTTCTCATCGAGAAAACTCCAGACTATGTCAAAACTAGTATCATATTCGGAGTCAGCATTACAAGCTGGGCCGACTCATATATGTTTCAAATATTTTTAAGAATTGTTTTTCGTCGAAAAATTCATCCTTATCTCTCTCAGAGGACTGTCAAAACATGGTATCTCTAAAAATGATGTTTTTATAGTGTAGTTTTCTGTGGTTTTGCTTCCACTGTCATTTTCGAAGTCTGAACGTTTCGTTTCGCAAGACAAGTGTCATTTTGAGAGGTATCATTTTCTGATGATTTCCTGTGGAAGAGTAGGGGTGAATTTTTCGACAAAAAAGATTCTTAGAAATATTTGAAACATATATGAGTCGGTCCAGCTTGTAATGCTGATTCCGAATATGATACTAGTTTTGACATAGTCTGGAGTTTTCTCGATGAGAAATGGCTAAATACTAGTTGTAAAAGTACAAAAACTGAACTCCCAGCACAATGTGACTAGGAATTACCCCAATGACCAGTGTATTTAGTGTTTAGAAAACATACAGTTTGGTAGCTTTTGAAAAGAGCTATTAAATGAGCAATAACAATAGTTTGAACATTTCAATTTTCAGTTTAAAGTATTTGTAAAAATATAAAAGTAGATGATAAATATAGGACTTCCCATGACAAAGTTTACAGAAACCATATACGGAGAGAAACTGTCCGCGCACGCTCTTTTTCGATCGTAATATTGGGACATGTATTTAGTCATATTTCTCCGTATACGATCATGAACGATCGGACTTGTTCAACCTGAGTTATATCAATAGTGCTCGCCGGTATCTTAGACCTACATGTCACGGAATTAACTAATCGGTCGATAATTTATATATGGGATTGAACCGTCATCAAAGAGCTGGGGGTGGGTGAGAGTAAGAAAGTTTGCCTCTTCATCCACACTCAGACCCCACACCCACACCCACCCTTTTTTAATTTCCTTTTTTGACAAGAATGAGACCTTATATGAATATGAAATACGATGTCAAATATTACAGAAATACTATTTATGTGAAAAAAATCATGTACGATAATTATGTTAATGAACATACAATACATTTTCCAGCAGAAGTGAAATGGACAAAAACAAATTGATATTGATTAGATACACACAAGAATAGAAGAAGAAAGATAAGAATACAACATTTAAATTGTATTCAATATAAATGAATGACAATGAGAAAGAATGTCTTTTTTTTCACTATTTGTTCTGGAATTTTTCGTGTCAACGAATAAATAATATATTATCAATTTGACTCCGTGATAAACGTGTTCGTCTTTGAGTAAATGTCAATTCAGCTGAACTAATTAGTCTCTCCAGCGAAGCACTGATCGCTAGTATATCATACATATATGAGGCGCCCCAAGTGTTTTTTATTAGCGAGGCGATATTACATTTGACTGATGCATTAACGTTAAGTCATCTCAAAAACATGACTTAACTCTGTTTTAACTTTTCTGCCAAATCTATTGTTTAATTTATTTTTATTTCTCCTAGTATGTTTAATCCCTTACCGTGTAACAAAATCATTCTATGGTTTGTTCACCAATTATTGAATGATTTTGTTTTTGTTCCTTTGCGATCAACACGCACAAACCAGAATAGATAACAAAACTCTCTGAGATATTTTTTCGCTAGTGTCCCGAAAGTTTCTGACAACGTTGAGAACATTTTATCTGAAACCATTACACATGTCACATCTAAGCAATTCGGATTGGATAAAATGTCTCCTGTTGTGACTATCTCTTGATCTAAAACTCACTAATGCATGCTGTATCCAACTCTCTAGCGTTCTCAAGTTATTTGTATAGCTTATTTATGTCTATTTTTTTTTTGATACCGACCTGTAGGACGCAAATATTATCCTGCAGGTCCTACGTCAATAAAAAAGATCGTCCTGCTCCTGCATATGCAGGACTGGTGCACAAGAAAATAGCTAACTTGCATGGTAGGTCCTGCAGGTTCTGCGACGTTCTCTGAAATATATAGTTTACAAGTTCTTATTCTCTGAGTTAATTATGTTTTGATGTTTATTTTCTTTTGTTTCATTAAAAGATATTCTGTGGAGATAAAAAATAATGTTATTGATAATCTGGTTGAAAGCAATGTAAATTGAGCAAAAATCTTTCGGGATTTTTTTTTCGGATTTTAAAAATGAAATTCCGGAATTTTCCAGCTTTTGACATTTGAATTTTTTATTCTCACATCTGGTAACCCTGTTTCAGAACTATCTTATCCTAAAACTGAGTCCACCGTGATGAGATCGATTATTGAATTAATGACTAAAAAAATTAGTTACTTCATTAACAGCTTGTCAATTCGAAAATTCGATAAAAATCTCATGAAACTAGTGTCAAAATGTCAGTCTCAACATGCTCTTTCCATTGATATATGATTCAATGGGGTTGAGTCAGAAAAGTACTAGTGAGCCGATTTGACTTCTTATACGCTCTCGTCCTTTGCGTGTAACATTAGAATTGTTTACAGAGATTTGTATCTACTACACTTATCGTGTTCTGCAACAATTGGCGAAGAGCTATAATTCCCTTTTAAAACCAGGCCTAATACAGATACGTTTCGAAGTCGATCGTCTGTAGAGCCATTTGAAAGTGACGTCATCTAAAAACGGCTATTTTTAACTTCTATCTTCATCCTCATCATCTGGCGCCATCATTTGACCAAAACTTTTTCTCATGTAAAGAAGTTTTAAGATGACAGAGACTGAGGTCATAAGGCTTTTTTATTTGTTCAACAAATTTTTTCGTACAAACTGGTCAAAAGAAATATCAAAGACTAGAAGTTTCACGTAGAGAAAAATCTAGATCGATCGTGCCACTCGGTTCCTTATGCTCCGACGATTATCTGATTTGTTACCAGTGAAATACGCCGAAAGAGAATGGAATCAACTAGTTCCCAAGGAGGAGAATGATCTGGAAAAAAATCGGTTTGAAGAAACTAAACATTTCGTCTCGTCGAATTGCAATTTGATGTAGCGAGAGCAATCAATGTTTGCTATAAGTGAACAATTGCCATTCTCTGACTTGAAATGCTTGAGAATGTACTTACTGGCAACAATAAAATGAGGTGAAGAGGAAGAAGAAGATTTTTCATTATCAACAGTCATCTGTCACCAAGAGAAAAATTACTTCTACCATAGCGCTGAGATTTTTTTACTTCATTAGTTTTATCGTTTAAAAAAAATCTTATGGAAAAAAACACACCACTAATCATCCAGATTCTTCTTCCTTATTGCCACCTCGCTCCACTTTCTGACTGACTTCTTCCTTCTCCTTCGGTGGTGACGCCATTTCCGAGTAGTTAGTTACTCTCATGTAGTGATTGTTATAGATTTCTGTCGTAGTAACATTAAAATTATCAGTATAAAAGTTACAAAACTGATTTTATTGGACATGGCGTCGTCAGTAAGAGAATTAAATTCGAAGTCGTCACTTCGGAATGAGTTCATATGGGAATGTCAAAGGAATATTGATCCATGGGATGCAACGCAAACTGTCGAATGGACACCTTATTCTAATGCTATATCGTCAGATATCGAAGAAGCTTATAAATGTGGTTTCAAACAGATATTTGTTGACGGACATTGTCGTATTGATTTGAAACACTACGTAGAAGAGCATATCAACAATCCACATCGGCAACGACCCGTTCGACGACGACGATGTCGTCTTCCTGCAACTATTGTTATCGAAGGAGAAACGGAAGATGAATCATCACGTCGTGAACGATTTTCATCTCCTTTGGGATTAGTTTTGAGCCGCAGTGCAACAGAAGATACAACTTATTATGGTTCGCCATTTATTCACGTTTGGTTAGTGATATTTACCAAGGGAAAAATGAAGGTTACATTCGATACCATTTTTCCCGTTCTTGTAAAAGGTTTGATCGAGGAGGGACAATCCGATATAAAAAATAAAGTACACGAAATCGAGGCGGTGTTGAACGGGGTCGAAGAGAACACTCGTGAAAAGAGTTCGGAAATGAGAATAAAAGAGCTGCAAAATTGCTGTGCTAAACTTTATACAAAAGCATGTTATATATATCGTGTCGTAAACGCTGCATTGCGTGACGATGATCGAACCAAACTGCATACTCTCGGACCCTTCTGCTATCTTCTATTCAACTATATTGGCCGACGTTTCAAAGACAATTCTTCCATTAGCGATCGTCTTCGACGAGTTCTTCGCCCAAACGAAATTCAATCGATGACTCTCTACCGCGGCGATCGTAATTCTGGCAGCACTGTAGAAGAATATCGACGGGCAGCTGGAGACTGTTCCAAACATTTTAAATGGCTTCCATTCGTTTCCACTTCGTACGACCGAGCTGTGGCTGAAGAATTCGCAGTTGATATTTTGTATATAATTGAAATGCGATCTTATTCGTCGAACGAAGATCAATTTACAGATATGGCAACCATCGGTCATTACGCTAACGAAAAAGAAATTTTATTACTACCAGGAGTGCAATTTCAAGTAAACAAATTAGAATTTGATAATGAAAAGGGACTACATTTGGTCTATATTAAAATTGATTCATCGTACGTATCCAGATTGAAATGATTGTTGAGACCAGTTTCATTTGAACAGAAAAAAAAACAGTTTATGATGTCAAAAATAAATCAATTGTGATCTTTTCAGCCTGAAAATGTTAATAAATTGATCTGTAAAAAAATGATTGAATAATCCGAATAAAATAAGACGATCTTGTAATTTTTTTTCTGATTATATATGTGTTAGTGTTTTATTCATATCTCTCTCACTTTCACATCCACATCCAACAAACACGCGCAAAACAAAACGAACAAACTATATAATAAAGTATCAAAGAAAAGTGCGGGTGTGGATGTGGGTGTGTGTGTAGGTGTAAATATGAGTCTTCTATTAACATCCATCCACCCTTGTTAAACATTCATTTTTCGATTGGTTTGACCCATGGTCGTCATATTTTTGATCATAGTTTCTGAATTTTGTTTTGATTGTTACGATTTATCTATTTTTTTAGCTTCTTTTTCCTTATTTTTATTATTTGGTCTCAAGACTAAAACTGGTTTGGCACATCTCTAGTCTGATATCTATCCGACGATCTCTACTCAGAGTTCAACAAAATCAATATTTGTGTATTGAGATGTTGGATAACAAGTTTTTATCTTGATGAAATGAGCGACGGTGCCTTTTTAATTTTTGATCATACGAAAAAAAAAATTTCCAACTGGACTTACAGTGTTTCAATGTTTTTCAAGCACATATCTCAGAATATTTTTGATTTAAATCTCTTATGAAGCTCAAATCTTGACACATTTATCCTTTATTTAATCTTTGAATGACATCACAAAAATGTTTTAGAAAAAAATCCTATGAGATGGATTAAACAAAATCTGCTACATATGAATCGTTTCTATTGAATTCTAGAATTTTCGCACGATCATTAATAAACAACGATATTTTGTGATATTTTTTTTATATGAATAACGTTTAAATATATAAATATATTTATCAATTGATATCGATAGTAAAATTGATACTGATATTAACATATTGGATATAATAAAAGCATAAGCTATTAAACATATGCAATAATTATTCCGTATTAAATTCAAACGTGTTAATAATATCGAATTATAATTAAGAACTGCAGATTCGATAAAAATCTTCATTATATATGGATATAAAAATTAACAACCATTAAGAAAATCCACAATTGATAAATTTATTAAGAAAAAATATCTGTTATTAATAAACATAATTTTATTAAATTTAAAATCATTAATGTTACAATTGTAATTAATTTAATCACAAGTGCAGATAAAATAATTTCAATAATAAATAAATGAAATTTTCGTCGTACTTTATTAGAATTTTTTTCATATTCATTATGATTCATTATTTCAATATAACGATGAAAATAACTAACTAATAGATCAATTGTTGTAGAAAGATTATTATTAGTTGATAGTGATGGTGCAAAGAAGGCTTCACATTGTGCAACAGTTACAAGATCACAGATACGAGTATTAAATAATATAATACTATTGAAATCGTCAAACATTATCCTTCAAAAGTATAACTTTGCTCTTTCGAAGTATTGGTTTATTTCGGAAAAAAAACCATTTGACCTTGGCTCTCGAGAGCTCAAAAACTAAACGCTATGAATAATACGAGATTTTCTTTGTCAGAACTCAGCCAGTTTTTGATAAAAATCGTACATTTGAAATAGCATCAAAAAGTAACTCGATCAAGATATTCATTAATACAAGATCATTTTTATTGCTCTGATTTTTTTCTAATTTGTCTACGAAAAACAAATAATGATAGGTTAATTATTTCATTTATCTTCTATTGTTCATGTAATCATTTTGATTGAGCATTAAAATTTATTATAATTGGATGAAATGGAACTGATGTATCGCTATTTTAGTGTTCGACAACCTTTGTTAAATACATACTAGAAGAAGGAATGACGTATATATCATGTAGTTATATTATTAATCTTTCTCTCTATGTCTTTTGAAAAACTATACGAACTTCATTTAATAAATGTTATTGGTTTTTGTACTTTTCAACTTATTCATGTAAAATTCTACTTGCTATTCTGTTGTCTTATAATACAAAATATGAAATAGATGTTTTTCGATTTTTCTTGTCAACACATAATAATCTTTTGAAAAAAAAAGACCAATAATGTGCGTTGAATTTGTAGAAGTAACTTATATTTGCTTTTCATGCAAATAAAAACATATGCAAATATAGTGTGTATAGTATTATTTTTTTTTATAGACTGAGAATATTAATAATTTCTTATCACAATATGTCATCAACTTCACCTTCTTTACAAAATATTCAACGTCAACATAGAGAACAAAATTCTTCAAGTGGAAAATTTCATATTTTCTTGTGTTTTGCTGCTGCTATATTATTATTATTTGGTATTTTTGAGTCATATAAAACTTTTGGATTTATCACTCGTCAATGCCAAGTTAAATCCATTGATTTAGTAGAGGACAATGATGCTTTTTATCCACGTTGGTTAGTTATGGTAATGTATAAAAATCAAACAAAAAGCGGTATTTTACTTTCCACAACTGGTCTGGGAATAGAAAGTTTGGCATAGAAGGTAGCACAGAAATATAAGGTAATATTCGACCTTTTACATTCAAAAAATAATTAAATCTTTTTATAATACTATAGCCAGTAAATTAAAGTGTACTACAACATTTTAACGAGACACTTATTTTCCACCCAAAATCTTCATTTTTTTTTCGTATTTTATTGTTTATCTTGGATATGTAGATTTAGATGCCTTCTATCTAATAAATATATTTTAAGAGGACGAAATCACCTTTTTTGTATGTAAAAAAAACTCAATTTATGCTAACAAAAGTTAAAAATTATAACTTTCTTCATGTTTTTTTCAAAATCAAATTTTCAAAATGAAACACATCAGAATTTCTATTAAAAACGTAGTGGGAATATTTGTGAAGTCGGGAGAAGAGGAAAGGACTTCAGGTCATTTTTTGACCTTTGCACTCATAAGATCCTCGAGAAGAAAGTATTTGCAGACTTCGTGTCTGTGACAATTTCACACTTTACTCATCGAGATCTTCCTACTCTGAAAGTTTCAAAAATTTTCTCCGTACCATTCTTGAGCAACTCTGAAAAGAGGAAGAAGATTCTTCTTAAGTTTATTATTTATTAAAACGATTTTTGATGGATCTTGACTAAATTGCCACAATATAGACAATCCTCACTGAAGAAATCCAACTGAAAAATGAATCTTTTAACTTTTCTTTTCCTTGTTTCTTGTTAAAGTAACTCTCTGATAGAGGCAATTCACTATACATATTTCCTACTTAGTTTATGGAAAATTGATTTGGAAATACTGCAGTATTATCAATGTCTAATATTGAACTAGAAAATCAATAATAAATTTTACTTTACTTTTTGCAAAATAAAATAAAGATGACATGTTACTTTTACTTTAGATAAATCAAACATATCCATGTTATCGTTCTCGGATTCAAGACTCATTTCATCAAAGGAGTTGCCAATGGAATAAACCATCGAAATTGAAAGCCTTTGGGTTTTTATTTGGTGGAATATCATTATTTTTCATAGGCACGCTATATATGATGCTGAGACGATGTCGTGAAGTAAAATCTGAAATTACAAGACAACAGCAACAACAAGAAGAAATACTATTAAGAAGTGACGAACGACAGCAGCCAATAGCACCTCCGGAAAGTCCATCTCCTCCCTATGAAAAAGTAGTACAACCGTCTACGGAAAGATAAACAACAATCTAGCCTATACATGGTGGCAATCATACTATTTTATCGTTGTTATCCTCGATTTTCGTTATATTATCCGTTCCGATAAGTTTCTTCTTTTCTCGATTTCTAACGTTTCTACAAAAGATTATGTTGTCTGTGAGAGAATTGTAACTAAAACTATAGAGTAGCTAAACGCATCATAACTGTAAATGGCAATTAGAAATGCTCCTTCAGTTGGTTCTTACATAATACATATCAAAGAAAGTTTAATTGTTATTAAGAAAAATTTCTGGATTTTTTATTACTTAAAATTCATTTGGATTTTCTAATGAGATTATGGACATGTTTCAATAAATGAATAGGGATAGTTTAATAAAATGTAATATTTTAAAGTTATTATTAAACAAGATTTCAACTTTTCTGAAGCGATTCTCATCAAGAGTTGCAAAATAAAACGAGTTATGAGTAAACTCATATTTGAACATAGTGATATTCTTTGTTGAGATAGATGAAACCAAGTAACTCTGCAGGAAAATAAGTGATGTTATAAAATCCATATTAAGATTTAGCAACCATGTACATAACGAGTTTGATATTCTCAGATCAAAATATATATCTTAACAATCATGAAATTTGAATTTTTTTATTGAAAGAAGATCATCATTTTAAAGCTGTAGTACATTTTTACGCGCTTTTTAACTTGAATGCTCATCATTAACTGCATTCACACAATAAAATCATTCTAAATTGTTGTGTTGCTGCATTTAATAGATTGATAATTGAATACATATAACTAATGGAATATATTATCATTTAAATGATGAATAGAAACGAATTAATATTATTGTAAAACATCTTCTTGTCTACTACTAGTATTTCAACACTGGTGAATGTTATCATTATATAAACTGATTTCTATTCGCTTCAATACATTACATAGTCAATATTCAGAGAGAATCATCATGAGATTTTCGTATACATTTACCAAACTTCTTTGTTATACAAAAAAGTTTTCGGTCTAATCTTCATACAACCTCTATCGTCCGATAGTTGCCGCCATAATCACCATAATTTTACCATTATTCTCAGGTGTATGTCGCAGTTTAAGAGTAATGAGTTAGCTATACTAAGGAAACCTAAATCTCTCAATTCTGAGAGCGTATATTTCAACTTTGAGTGACGAGATCATTACTCCATGCATCAGCCGTTTTATGCAGAACAAAATACACTCTATTTCCAGTAATTCATTGGATGATCTGAAGATGATCTCTGAACATCACATGTAAGAATATTACAACATCTACAGAGGAAATGAAGTGATCATCCGTCTTAATTAGTTTTAACACATTAATCATTGGTTCTTGTCATCATCATTGAAGATCATTTTATTTCCATTATCATATCATTATCTAAAGCAAACATTTGAATGAGATTCATGGTCTCATGAATTGATGAATATCAGGTGTAATAGGTCGAGTCGAATTTTAGTCTCTATAGCTATAATGTATCAGTGAATAGAGAATGAAAAGGATAGAAGAGCATGTGAATGGGCATTTATTTTCTCTCTCTACTTAACTCACCTATAAATGAAGAGAGAAAGAAAGAGTACGGGTTAAGACTCATTTATTTGTGCTTTCTTATCATTCTCTATTGCTCGACACCATTCGTTTGAAGACATATCTCGCTCAATAAAAATTGCATTACTCACTCACATTAAAGTGTAGTTCTTTCCAATTCTTCAAACTTTTTACGTTCTGTATTACATTTCGTTTTTTTTTCGTATTTACTTAGAATACGTTAGTAAAAACTACGACAAGCAACAAAGTTTTTTTTTCTTTCTGTATATTTGCCTTGCCACCTTTACGTGATACTATATTGTACTGGATTACTTTCTATTAATTTTTAGATAATATTTTGTGATAAATTTGCTTATTACATAGAAAGTGAAGGACCGATTAACATGTCATTTTCATTAGAAAAGTCGAAAATTATTACATTATTTGAAAAACATACTACTTTAACTCCACTTGAAATAGATCAGCCTAGAATTCATGGAGCACAATTCAACTTAATCTATTTTATCACTCTTGCAGTTGTACCTTCAACAGAATTCACAAGCACTCATTTCTTTCTTCGTCTATCAAAACCATTACATCCTCGAATTAAAACACAGAATGAAGTTGGTTGGCTTACTTTTCTTAGGAAATACTCAAACTTAAAAGTACCAAAAGTGTTATTTTGGAGCGACTCTACAAATGAACTTGGTTATGAGTACACTGTTGTGGAAAAATTACCAGGCGAATCGCTTTGTAATATCTGGGAAACAATCGATCCACAACATATTGTTCAACAAGTGGTCGATATCGTATTAAAATTAAGAGTATTGACGGAAGATGTTCCTTGTAATTGGTTTGGTGGAATGACAGCAGATGGAAAACCAAGCGCATTCATTGAAGTGACATCCTATACAGAAGAACATATCAATCAATACTGGCCTTTATCTGACTATCCCAATGAATCGTATGAAACTTTGAATTTGACTAGAAGTTTTTCATCGTGGAAAGAATATTTGGAAGCACGTATCCAACGAGATATATATGTCATTGACACTCATCAATCGTGTGTTTCTCTTCGTACATCATTTCGTTCTCGTCTTCAAAAATTATTAACACAATCGAAAGTTATACAAGAGAACAAAGGTTATATAGCACATCGAGACTTACATTTTGCTAATCTTCTTTGGTCTACTGAAACTAACTCTATTAGTGGAGTATTGGATTGAGAATTAGCTGGTATTTATCCATTGTCTGATTGGAATCCAGGAAATACTTGTTGGACTGTGATTGAACCGAAAATGCCAGAAAGTTCTAGACAAGATCAGTTTTTTTATATGTTGGATAACGAACTTGAGAAGAGAGGTGCAAAGATAGTGGAAGATGTAGAAAGTGAAGAATATCACTACAGAGAGATTGTTAGTTTAACCTATTGGATTGTGCTGAGATTTGTTGAGAAACGCAATGATGAAGAGAGAGTTAAGGAATGGATGAAACAATGGGAGAAATACATGACAAAGTTAAATCTATGACAGAATACCGGAACAATTTGTTGTATTTAATGGAACTAGGAGGAATTGAGTTAGAAGTTGTTGGTGTTAGATCCACACACTCAATATCCTTATTTAATTTCTTTAAAATAAAATAAAATTAAAGTTGTGGTATTTTTTCTTTAGAGAATGTCGCATTCTTTCAATGTATAAATGTGTGAAATATGAACATACAACAATACAATAATCTAAATATCTAGTCCGCTGTATTAGTGTACATCTGTTTTGTCAGATTTTCGTTTTCTTATAGAGAGTTTTTGAAGGAATTACCTTCAAAGACTGATCCACAAGTGAAAAACGTAGATAAGTTAATGTTTTATAAATCTTATGTTGATGATATGTCTGTTTTATATCATTTTAATAGTCATATATATATATAAGGGTTTGAGTGGGTGTGGGTGTTCCCTTCTTTTTATCCACACCTACACCCACATCCTCAAGAATGAGACAAATATCATTATCACGTTTTCAACGTAAAAAAGTTGGACGAAAGTCTTATCACGAATTAAAAAATTCATTGTTTTTGGAGGAAATGAATAGTCTAGAGCTAAAGAATATTGAATAGAAATAGAAAAATATACTTCGTGTATATGTATACATACATCAAAAGAAACAATATATCAACATGTAATTAAAATAAATTCGTTATGCCGTGGCAGAGCAGCCGGCCGAACGGCAAACATTTTGAAATGTTTCCTTGACATAGTGCTAACCTATACAGACAAATGGATGAAAGTCAGACTTGAACAAATAAATTAGTCGTGATAAAGTAGCACATACATACCACAAGATATGAATTATACCCCGATCCATCATTACAGTTATCATCAGCAGGCGTGGGTGTAGGTGTGTGCGTGTGGTGTGTTGGTGTGAACGTTGTGTTTAGACACCCACACACCCATCCAAAGTCACAACTCTACCCAAATCTTCTAATTGAAGCAATAGTACAATCAAATGAATTCATTTTATTGAAATTTTTCTTTGTTTCTGATTGTTAAATGCAACCGGTATTGAATATAGACTTATAAACTAACAAGATTCAGTTTTTTCGTGAAGGACAAAATGAATGCATGTAAATGATTGTTAAAGACGTATTTGATATGTTATGGAATGTTCGAAAGAAATAATATAGGTATTGTTCTCGTGGAACATTTTTTCATATTAAAGAATATATGATGTTGGTTAAGTGGATGTCGTTCAAGAATTAACTAAATGCTTAAATTTAAATTGTAAAAAAGAGTATTCAACTACTTTAATCCTTTACTTCGTGTTAGTTCATTCTCGGTCCATTCATAGAAACTATCTATTTAGAGTGTTAAAGTATCGGATCGATATGATGCTTTTATAACATTTTGCAAAGCTTTTAATCAACTACAAATTTGAAAAAAGACCTAAATTTCTTTTCATCATTCCTTAGTTAAGATATATGAGTTGGAAAACAGTATTTTCTCAAGAAAGTAAAAAGAATATGTTTTATTTAATTACACAGACTGATTATTCTGATGTTTATGAGGTTGATACATAATTAATATTATGAGCATAATCTATTTGCAGAGTAATTCTTAAAAATCTCTTGATTATAGATGTAAAAGCAACTTTTTCATGTCAACTTGGGTCATTGTTGACTCATTCATAACGAACAACATGAAAAACGGTTTTTCTAGAATTACGTTTTTCGCAATATAAATTCATTAAATAATACGATTTTCATGGTAATCACTTTATTAGAACGATAAAAGATAGAAACTTGTAGCCTCTGCTATGACCTTCTTCTCGGCGAGACTTTAACAATAGGAATGAGTGATTTCAGATCGGAATCAGAATCAATGATTCCATATTGTATAGAGAACATGAAAATCAACGGTTCCAGTACAATCCTGGAAGTGAAAGAACTGACTCCTATTCTAAAATAGTCGCTTTTGCAAATATCTAGCCATATATCATGCTCTGAAATGATTCATTTTTCAAAAAATAGTTGGTGATAAGTCTTCAAAGTTATACAGGTAAAATAGCAGTATAACTGCGAAAAAGTTAAATTAACAGTAGATTCAATTTTTATGTCATTCAAGATAAATGAGTCATTTTAGAACCATTCTGCATCTCCACAGTGGAATGACTTAGTACAAAGTTAACCTCACCGTTGTCGTAACTAGCATCTACAAAAACTATTCTCATAGTTATCTTAACATCAAAGCTATTGAATGAGTGCTAGTGGTAAATGATTAAGCAAGATTTAGCATCACAATATAATAACATTTCATTTTCAAGTCGTGCCAAATGCTTTGGTTGAACTTTAAAAACCGGTCGGTTGTCACTGGTTTTTATCAATTTTAAGAATACTGAAGCTAGTCTACTTTACTGTTCATCAAAATCCTACCTCTAAGTTTTGAATTCACTCTTTTCCATAGTGCAATAAGTGCTACGAATCAGGGTGAATGTATTAATTATGGCCACGAAAAGTTAACTAGTCATTATAGATACTTCAAAATTTCGAGCTCACTTTCTGAACTATTTTTAACCGGTTATCAAAACCTCTTAACCTTTCGATACCAAAATATCAGAAGAGAATCTGTTCCACTGAGATAGTTATGCCAACCATTAGCATGATGCAACTGTAAAAATATCTAGGCATCAGGAAATCTAAAAATATAAAGTCTAGTATGAAATCAAATTCTATAGATCATTTTATATCATTATGTAGAGTAGTATCCTTTTAAGAATCACAAACCCTTTCAAATTATGTTAAGCAATGATTTCAAATAAGATCTTAGATCAAATTTGTCAATCCTTGAGAGTTACTATATGATAAGTTTTAAAAGAGTTCTTCCATCTTTCTTAGTATTAGTATATATAGAACGTGACAGGCTAAAATACAACTTGTTACTATTGAAACTTCAAGAATTATATGACTTTCAAGTTGTATATATTTGTAGAACTTCAATAATAAACTTTTTCAAAAGAACTAGTTAGTTAATTGTTATGTTAAAAAGTCGTTTCAATTTAAAATTATACCGACGGCTCTTTATATTACAGTTTGTATAGCATTGCATCGAAAAATTTATTTCATTTGAAGATCTACTACCGGACTACTATTGAATCTGATTGCAAATAAAAACTTATACCTGGATTCTTGATCATCGAAATTCAAATTTGTATTCTTTTTTATTGTTTAGTTAGCTGTTGTTCATCATTTTAGCAAAGCTCTCGATGAAAGTTATAGTTTATATAAAAGAAAATAATCTTAGATAGACTTGCTTGTTATCCGTCATCTGATTATTATTTGAAAATGAATAATTCATCTGATTTGTTTCTTTTAAATTTTTTAATTAAAATCTATCATTAATATATATTTATGGATGAATTAACAAAGCATAATTCATCGAAAGATGAAGTCTCCACACCCTCAACGTATTCATTTTGATATAATTATTTCCTAATTATTGTGATCATTTTCGACAGAGAATACTATCTAGAACAACGACACAAATTGTAATATCTTCTTCAACAACGAATAATGAAAGTATCGCAATTGCTGGTGAAAATATTAATCTTTCATCTATCTATTTTAAAGAAAAAAAAGAATGTACACCATCTGATTCACAATTAAATACAAGTGAGTGACCTATGATTGAAGTTAAGCAACAGAAAAAAATGAAAAATAGAATTACACCCTTTTTTCTCTATTGTTGCATATTTAGTGTGAAAAGAAAACATTTGCAATATGATATTTGGTTACTTTTAATGGAAAAGATGTTCATAAATAAGATTGAAGAATAACAAAAGACTAAAAATTTAAATGTTGTAATTTTTCATGGTATATAAATATTTCCAGAAGAATTGTATGGAAAATTTTTATTTTATACTTTTAATTAATGTTGTAAGTGAGAGAAGTCTCACTGTTTAATATCTTAACAATTGCTATACTTTGTATTCATTCTTCTTCGAATTTAAATATTCAAGAAGTTTTTTTCTTACTGTATAAACTATAAACGAGAATCATAGGAACTTTACTAGGAAATTTGAGAATGAGTGTTTATTCTGAAAATTTATGTTTAATCTTAAGAAAGAATATTTACAAGTGAGACATTGAAAATTTTTATAGAAATTATTTCTCATATTATATTCTAGAATTATCTTCAATATCTTGTCAATGTTTATTCATTTTCATGGACGTTGTTTTGTAAATTGTCTTATTCGACGATCACTTTCAATAGTTACTAGCAACTCTATAGTACCTTCATCAGTCGTACTCATTTGTATCGTCGGCAGTGGTCCATCTGATTCTTTACTTACACTTCGTCACACAATGCCAGCAACAATTCATATGATTGAAAAATCACCTTCACTTTTTTTATCTTGTTCGATATAATGATGTTGTATCTGATCATCTTGAAGTAAAAAAATGTTATACATATATTTACAAAAATAGTTGAACATGAACATGTGAAAGAACTACAAGAATTTTATTATAATATTTACTTATAGCTCATCCATTGAACGTAATTTAAATATTACTGATGAGATAACATCAGAAAACGTTTTTGTTTTTTACTAAAGATTTTTCGTGAATGATACAATGGCAAAATGAAAACAAAACAAAATAATTTCTAAGTCAGTATAAAAAAGGAAGACAATTTCAAATAGATGTGTCGGAAAATATTCAACTTTAATCACAACTTGATTGTACTCAAAATACATGTTTTCATCTATTGATAATTTAGCTAAAACACATGTTACTGATGTTGTAGTACTTGATACATTTCGTAAAAGTCGAATACGACATGTGATACTTGTTGGTCAGTGTGGGCCAATGCAAATATCATCTACTTATAAAAGAACTTTGTGAACTTACTAAATTAACTGACTTACAATTAGTGTTAAATAAAGAAGATTTTAATCGAAGTGATCAAAATATGATTGATAAATTAGAACGACTAAGAAAAAAATTATCCGAATTCACGTTTAAAATAGTTCGAATAAGTTTGTATTTTTGAAATTTACGATTATTTTATCTAGAATGGTCAAAAGATAATGATGAACAATTTTTGGTATTTATAATTTTTGCGCCGTCCAAAACAATTGTTGAAAGTGTTCATTTCGAACATACAGAATTTGTAACTAGTTGTGATTTTTCTGATGAAAATCTATCAAGTCTAACAGAATGGAATTAAAGAAACAAAACCATCTAGTCTTGTCATTAAAACTATAGATTATTATGATATAATCCGCCTCTATACTACGTAGTCTTGGATAAATTATTTAGGGCTAGGATGTTGTCTCATTCATTGAATACCGCACTGACTACGATGTTCCATTTATCTTTGTAATGTTTTCTCGACATGTTGTTAGTGTTTATATAGGAACTTCTAATTGGTACTTTCTATATCAATTGATCATAGGCTGACCAATTTCGAATAGTCTGACGAAAAATCAATACGTTCAACATCATTAATTAATATTTACACACTTATCACATTGGACACTACAAACATCAACAAATTTGTATGTTGCATCTGTACATGTACCAGCTACATAATGATCTGCCCGAAAACTTCAAATACATGAATATATTTAAAAAAATTAGAACAAAATATGCCAACAAGTTCTGTACCGTTGACAATTATCACAATATAATTGTTCAATGTTATCATTGAAACTGTCTATAAATTTTTTAATGTAAATCAAAATATCTATCGCAAGTTTCTCGTGGTATGTATTTCGGTTCCAACAATGCATTTGTTTCAGTTGCTGTACTGTATTCATCAGCACCATAAATACATAGTATTGTAATTTTTCAACTGACAATATCTTAAATTTAACATTAACAATGAAAAGATGAATAAGAAATTGTTTGATTTTACCGCACACGAAAACATCAGCATTTAACAAAGCTCCAGTAAGAATATCCAGATGAGGTACATTGTTGACGTAACGTAAAGCAGTTACCATCATAATATTTCGAATATCAAGGTTTTGGTGTTTCATAAACAAAAGATATAATAATAATGCTGCTAGTGAATTTTGTGCGAGATTAAATTATGAAACATGTTGCAGTAGCTGTTGCTAATGACAAGGAAATTGTTTTATTCAGTCTAATTTAGAAGAGACTTCGTCACCATTCATTTACTTGATGCTCCAGAAATGCAATCAGGAAGTAATCAACTAGACGATATTGAGACACGACCTTCGACCGTATATCAACAAAACCTGTCATTGTCTCTGATACAACAGAGAGATATGCAACTAAAAGGGTTCTTCATCAGGATTAGTAGGCTCGAAGATTTCAATGAAACCACTTGAATGAGGATTTGCGGAAGATCAAGACGTCCAAAACTAGATTTCTTGTATCTATTCGAAGGTTTTGAAGAATATTTTTATTAAATAGAGCAAAATGACACGTCTCCAAACTTTCCATGAACTTTCTTCATCGAATTGCTTTTCGAGCTCTTCGTAGATCAAAAACAAGTCTATAAAAGGAGTGCATGGAAAGTTCGGTGACGCCCTATATTCCTCTATAAAATAAAATTTTTTTTCGAAGGTCTTAATTCAACCAGTTCTGTTGGAGTCTTCGGATCTGCTACTACTTATAGAGAATTGTTTCAGTTACGCAAGTGTTTTATATTTCAACATTCATTTTAGATAATGTTTCACAAAAACATAATACCAGATACAATACATGAATAATTTCTTACATGTTTTCATCCGGTTTTGATTTATTGAGCGTCGATGGTGCCTTTGATCATAGATTCAAAGTTATTCCGAAATGTAGATTAATCATCGAAAAGAAACAAAAAAGGATAATAACATATCAAATTTTCTGTTTTGAGTAAAACAAAGATACTGGTTGCTTTATCAGTTTATACATTCATTGTAAAAGTATAGAAATCAAATGGAAAAAAATTAAAGGTAATATTCAACGAACTTATGTTCTTGAATGGATTGTATAAATGACGAAGAATTCAAATGATGAACAGTTTTCATGAACAAATCCTAAATGTGAACAAAAATTCAACTAGAAACAACGATATACTTTTCGACTGAGACGATGTTCATTTGATGAGTAATAGAAAAGTTTAGAATGATTCCGTTTTTCGAATCTTCGTTGTTTTTCAATAAAGATCTGTAGTCCTACTCAGGTTATATGAAAAATCGACTTTCGAAATCAAATTTTGCATAAACATTAGATTAATTCTTTGGGTATGTTGTAACTTTTCTAGTTCTTATTTTCTATCCTGAGATATTGAATAATCGAAATTTTTCTTTATTAACGAATCTCGTTAAGAACTTTATTCACGCAAAGTTTGAAGTCGAAATTCTATTTTGTAGATGACTTAAGGTGAATTACGTGTTTTTATGCTGAAACATCCAGTAAAATTTCGATATGTGGAGAACGAAGATTCGGAACAGCCATATGTCGTCAGTCAACTTTTCATATTCTCATCTGACGGTTGTTCTTCGATAGATGGGAAAAGTTCTTGATAAGATTTTATTTAAAACTTGATCTCGTCTTTTTAATATCTAAACTAAAAAGTAAGAAAAATTTTGATGATGTGTTGAATAATATTCGATGATGAACTTTGTTGAGGAATTACATTGAACATCTAATTATATCCTACTTTTGCAGATTGAGACTGTTCAAAATGAGGAAAAAGTTTCACTTTTCTTCGAGAATAGCAAAACATTTAGAGTTCTTTTCTCAAAGAATACTAAGATATTTCTTGAGATAAGTACCGAGTACTTTCTTGCACCAAAACTATTATACTAAATTTGGCATAGAAATCATATTGAAGTAAAACGAAAGATTCTCACAGGTACTTTATACTAACTTTTCTTATGAAGGTATTTATTTCAGCATGACTTCTACTGTAAAGAGTTATAATAAAATATTCCTTCCTGTTTTACATATTTATTAGAGAAAGCAATAAATTTCGAAAATATTTGTTCATGAGTTATTTCTAATTTAAACATTCCATAATAGAAGTAGATGTTTGAAACAACTCCAAACTGAAATCGATACAAAAATTTTATTCGGCTCATTCTTTTCTTTTTCAACTCAAAACCTAACTTTATAGCATAAAGTTATTTCTACAGAATTTCTTATCTAATTATATATTTACATAGCAGAAAAAAGGCTGAAAATCTGTTGCATCATCTATTTAAAGAAGTTATGAATGATGAAAATATTAATTTTGTTTAGTGAAAACATCAATTAATGCAAGCTTAATTCACCACTACATAAAGGAATAATTAGTGTTAAAGCTTTTGTATCCTATGTTATCTTGATAACTTTAGAGATGATTATTGAATTGTTCATCTATGAAATTTCTATTTGAGCTTCAGTACAGTTAGTTTTTGAATTACTTTGAAAGTAATTTAGTAGAAGTCACTTTTATTTTCCTTGTACCTACGCTTATTAAACCTAACAATAATTCTTATTTAGTTTATTTTTTCTCATGATTTAATATATCACTACAGTCAAAACAACGAAAAAAAAACACCAATCAGAATATTCAGTCACTGAACTATTTCATAAGTTTTGATAAAACAAACTTAAAATATTAATTATTCAAAATGTAATCAATATCAATAGATAGACAACAAGAAAGAATAAATAATGTGTTGAAACTTTTGACTTGATAGGAAATGAGATATCACGACGAGTTTCACTAGTAGATCAGAACTTTATGAGCACACGCATTTTCGATTCGTTTCAGTTGTTAAATGAGTCAAAATTTTCTGAATATTTTTAGTTTAATTATGAAAAATTCTCACTTGAAATACTTACTTGTCTTTTGATCATACATTCATTTGTTTACTTGAATCGAAACTATTCGACCATTCCTGTTCTAATAAATGAATTGAACAATTAATTTTTTTTTTTGTTAAATATTTATTAGATTCTAAATTAAATAAAAAAAGTTCCACTTACTCGTTTCTTTGCTTTATGAAGACCACCAGAATTTAAACATATAATAAGTGAAGACTAAAATAAAAATTGAATATTACAGTTTTTTTTAAGTTACTTTATCAATTAAATAAATTCATCGGTTTTATTATTTTCATGATGTTGAAATCAATCATAACGATGAAGATACATTTATGACCATAAATTGAACAAAGTGTTCCAAATTGTTCAGTTTCTTTAATTAGAAAAATTTTTATTTAAATAAAAAATAGAGATTGTGTCAATGCAACTCATTGAAGATTATAATGTAAAACTTACATGTATTCTTTAGTCTCATTATACTCATACAACATACTTGAAATGAAAAATTTCTACCAGACTATGAGGGATCAAGAGAAATCGAATTTTAGTCAATTTTGCTCTTAAAGTTACTATGATTTTCATATGTTTTCATTTTTGAATCTCTTAACTTCTTTTGGATGAGTTTCCTTCGCGATTCTCGAAAAGGATGTGGGTACTGGTATAGAGAAAACTATTTCAGAATTGATTCTTATCATATCTAAAAACGTCTTCAGTATTTTTTATTTATTTATATGCTTAAAGTCGTAGAATATTTAACTATAACTTTCAGTTGCAGTTGGAACTACCGGTTTTTCTCATAGTTGCTACTATTAAAGTGAAAGTCTATAATGACCACATTCATAAATGATCACCAACAAGATGTCTTGAGAAAATGTGAAATAAATTCTAATGAGAATATTATGAACACGAATCTAACAAACTTCCAAATTTTCGTCTCACATATCTTTAAAACTTACATTCACTCTATTTTTCTTCAAAAAAGATGTGAGTTCCACAAAAAAAAACAAAAACAAAAACAATCAATAATAGTATCATCAATTGTTAATGATAATGGATTAATATCAAATAAACTTTGAATATTCCTTAATTGAATAAGTATAATATGTTTTTATACCGAATGTTTTCCACATATGTTCAAGACAATCGAAGAAAAGAATAACGAATTAAATGTGTTCGTATTATTGTTAATTCTTGTGAAAGTTCAATAAATTAAAATTTTTCTATATAATCACGATATGCATCAAGGAATTCTGACTAAAATTTAACAACAATATACTTAATACTGTCGGAATCGTTTTCTTACTCGACAATTATCAATACGATTAATCCACTGAATTAATTAATAATTGATAATCAATATATGCTGTTGATATAGATTTAAGTAAACGTTGAATAGGTCATATC